GTCAGTCAATTAGGAGATGCTACAAATTCTACATCTTCACTTACCATCACCAAACTGAACAGAACAGATGAGGGCAACTATRCMTGTGTCATCAGCAACATCGTCAAAACAAATGTCAGTTCTACTGCAGCAAAGCTAACAGTCCATTGTAAGTACATTCATTATATRTATTATGTATTAAATGCGATCCAGGGATGGTGCAGGGAGTATGTAGCGTGCACCACTTAGGTGCACAACTCCCTACTAAACTCAAACAGCATGCAACTTGCACACTACAGAAAACCGTGAAATGACCACGAACAAACTTATCAGTTGGTTCATTTTATGACATCTTTTCCAGATCCATCTTTTGTTCGCGTTTCTCCACGTCATACAACCAAAAACGAATCAAGCACTGTTACACTGAARTGTGAAGTGGAAGGCAAGCCACAACCAACTGTAAAATGGTTTAAAAACGGTATTCCTTTCGACACAAAAGATTCAAGAATAACGTCTACAATTGCTGGGTCGCATGAACGTTTAGACGCAATGCTCATCATTCAAAAGGTCAGCCGGTTTGACAAGGGAGTATACAAATGTCACGCATCTAATGGTATTGGAAATGTAGCGTCCACTGGAGCGAATTTGACTGTACACTGTAAGTATAGTTTACGTTACAATTTGAGGAATACTGTGCTTAATCATCTAATAGTTTAATTTTGTCTTCAGATCCTCCAAATATATCTGCATCACCGCAGAATGTTACAGAGATTGAGCATCAATCTGCGATGTTTAAGTGTACTGTGCAAGSCAAKCCCATATCACAARTAACATGGTGGTACAACGATGTTAAGATCAACACAAGTGATAGCGCCAAGTACAGTATCAGTGGCYCTTCTGTAGCAAGCAGTAGCGAGGTCTCTTTGACAATAAAGRGSTTGRTGAGAAGTGACGAGGGGAMTTACCGTTGTAAAGCTGAGAATAGYCTAGGAACCGAGTATTCTCAGSCAGCATACTTGACTGTTTATTGTAAGTATACTTTATTGRTCTATACTAATACCCGTATTTATWATATCTCGTGARGCAAACAATTAGCCATATATYGCYRCTTGCAGATCCACCAAAGATTCTCACCTCTCCATCTGRARTCACTAAAACAGAGGRAGAAAATGTTACTCTCTCMTGCCGGTTYGAGGGSAAACCTATACCTAGSATGGTGGAATGGTYTGCAAATGGACAGAAACTTAACATCMAYTCMAAMTCMAGGCTGAMAGTYAGTCAATTAGGAGATGCTACAAATGCCACATCTTCACTCACCATCACCAATGTGAATAGAACAAATGAGGGCAACTACACATGTGTCATCAGCAACATTGTCAAAACAAATATTACTTCKTCTGCAGCACAACTTAYTGTCAATTGTAAGTAGAGTCAATCTRTGTTTGATGAATCACATGCAATTTAAGGGGTGCAGTGGTARTGCAGCGCACAAATTTTACATKYACACCTYATTGACAACATTAAATGACATGCTGCACCAWAAACTCGAAGGAAWTTACGAATTSACAACGACCTACTGATGAATAGGYTCATTTTATTACGTTTCTCYAAGATCCATCTTCTATACRAGTTTCTCCACGCCACACAACCACAAWCGAATCAAGAGATGTTACACTGAAGTGTGCAGTGGAAGGCAAGCCAACACCAACAGTGAAATGGTTTAAAAACGGTTTTCCTATTGACACAAATGATTCAAAAATGACATCAAYCATTGCTGGGTCGTATGAGCGTTTAGACGYGCAGCTCTTGATTGTMAATGTCAGCCGGTTGGACGAGGGTGTGTATACATGCCACGCATCTAATGGTATTGGAAMAAATGTAACTTCTCCTAATGCGAATTTGACTGTGCACTGTAAGTAGTTATACTTYAATTTATAGTTTACAAAGTCAAATTATGTAATATTTGTCTTAATCATCTAAAATCATTACTTTGATCTTCAGATCCTCCAAAATTGTTTGCATCACCGCAGAATGTTACAGAGATTRAAYATCAATCGGTGWCTTTTAATTGCACATTCCAGGGGAAKCCAATACAAATAACATGGTGGTACAACGATGTGAAGATCAACACAAGTGATAGCACMAAGTACAGTGTTATTGGCCCTTCCTCAGTAAGCAGTATCGAGGCATTTTTAACGAYAAATAGCTTAGTGAGAGGTGACGAGGGGACATACCGTTGTAAAGCTGAGAATAGCCTGGGAACCGATTACTCACAACCAGCATACTTGACTGTTTATTGTAAGTATACTTTATTTGTCTTTAATAAGACTTGTRTTTACTTTATYTCCTGAGACAAACATRTASCCATAYATYGCYRCTTGCAGATCCACCAAAGATTCTCACCTCTCCATCTGGARTYACTAAAACAGAGGAAGAAAATGTTACTCTCKCCTGTCGGTTCGAGGGCAAACCTATACCTAGGRTGGTGGAATGGTTTGCAAATGGACAGAAACTTGCCATCAACTCCAACACAAGGCTGACAGTCAGTCATTTAGGAGATTCTAGTAGTACCACATCTTGGCTTAGCATCACCAATCTGAACAGAACAGATGAGGGCAACTAYATATGTGTTATCAGTAACAGWGTCAAATCAAATGTTACTTCWACTGCAGCAAAGTTAACAGTCCATTGTAAGTACAGCCATTCTATGTATGATGTATTTTGCGATCCGGGGATGGCGTAGGGGCTATGTAGCGARCACYCTCTAGGTGTACATCCCGCAGCTAATCTCAAATAGTCTGCAGCCTGCAGCCTGCAACATGARGAAAACCGTGAAATCATCACKAGCCATTTTCATTTTATGAGTTCGAGTTCATTTTAAGATGTCTCTTCCAGATCCACCTTTCGTTCGATTTTCTCCGCTCCACACAACCATAAACGAATCAAGCACTGTTACACTGAAGTGTGAAGTTGAAGGCAAGCCWCAGCCAACTATAAAATGGTTTAAAAACGGTTTTCCTATTGACKCAAAAGATTCAAGAATAACGTCTACCATTGCTGGGTCGCATGAACRTTTAGACGTAATGCTCAAGATTCAAAATGTCCATCGGTTTGACGAGGGAGTGTACACATGTTACGCATCTAATAGTATTGGAGAAAATGTATCATCCACTGGAGCGAATTTGACTGTACACTGTAAGTATAGTTAACGTTTCAAATTGAGGAATACTAGACTTAATCATCTAATAGTTTAGTTTTGTCTTCAGATCCTCCAAATATATCTGCATCACCACAGAATATTACAGAGATTGAACGTCAACCTGTGACTTTYAATTGTACGGTGCAAGGCAATCCTATATCACAGATAAYATGGTGGTACAACAATTTAAAGATCAACACAAGYGAWAGCGCCAAGTACMGTGTCAGTGGCCCTTCTTTAGCAAGCAGTAGCGAGGAATCTTTGACAATAAACAGCTTGCTGAGAGGTGACGAGGGGCCTTACCGTTGTAAAGCTAAGAATACCCTAGGAACCGAGTATTCTCAACCTGCATACTTGACTGTTTATTGTAAGTATACTTTATTGGTCTATACTAATACCCGTATTATTATATCTCGTGAGACAAACATGTACCCATATATCACCACTTGCAGATCCACCAAAGATTCTCACCTCTCCATCTGGAGTCACTAAAACAGAGGGAGAAAATGTTACTCTCTCCTGCCGGTTTGAGGGCAAACCTATACCTAGGATGGTGGAATGGTTTGCAAATGGACAGAAACTTAACATCAATTCCAACTCAAGGCTGACAGTCAGTCAATTTGGAGATGCTACTAATTCTACATCTTCACTTACCATCAACAATCTGAAAAGAACAGATGAGGGCAACTATATATGTGTCATCAGCAACATTGTCAAAACACATGTTACTTCCTCTGTAGCAAATCTAACAGTCCATTGTAAGTATAGTCATTCTATGTATGATGTACTGAATGCGGTCCAAGGGTGATGTAGGGGCTATGTACCAAGCTCATTTTAAGTGCATATCAGCCTGCTTACCTCAAATAGCTTGCACCTTGCAAACCGAAGAAAACCGTGACTTCACCACGAGCCACCTTTTGACTAGGTTCATTTTATGACGTCTTTTTCAGATACACCTTCCGTTCGAGTTTTTCCACTCCAAACCACCACAAACGAATCAAGCTCTGTTGCTCTGAAGTGTGAAGTGGAAGGCAAGCCACAGCCAACTGTAAAATGGTTTAAAAACGGTTTTCCTGTTCACACAAATGATTCGAGAATAACGTCCACCATTGCTGGGTCGTATGAACGTTTAAACGTATCACTCATGATTCTAAATGTCAGCCGGTTTGACGAGGGCGTGTACAGATGTCAAGCATATAATGGTATTGGAGAAAATGTATTTTCCACTGGGGCCAATCTAACTGTACATTGTACGTATATAATTTTCACGTTGCAATTGTGGAATATTTAGCTCAATCATCTAAAATTGTTGCTTCGATATTCAGATCCTCCAAAAATATCTGCATCACCACAGAATGTTACAGAGATTGAACATCAATCTGTAACTTTTTACTGCACTGTCCAAGGGAAGCCAATACAGATAACATGGTGGTACAGCGATGTAAACTGGATCAACACAAGTGATAGCGACAAGTACAGTGTTAGTTGGCCTTCTTCCGAAAGCAGTAGCGAGGTCTCTTTGACAATAAACAGCTTGGTGAGAGGTGACGAGGGGACGTACCGTTGTAAAGCTGAGAATAACCTAGGCACCGAGTATTCACAACCAGCATACTTGACAGTTTATTGTAAGTATAGTTGGTCTATACTAAGAATCGTATTTATTGTATCTCGTGCATGAGACAAAGAATTACCCATATTTTGCTGCTTTCAGATTCACCAAAGATTCTCACCTCTCCATCTGGAGTCACTAAAAGAGAGGAAGAAAATGTTACTCTCTCCTGCCGGTTCGAGGGAAAACCTATACCTAGGGTGGTGGAATGGTTTACAAATGGACAGAAACTTGCCATCAACTCCAACTCAAGGCTAACAGTCAGTGATTCAAGAAATACTAGTAGTACCACATCTTCGCTTACCATCACCAATCTGAACAGAACAGATGAGGGCAACTATATATGTGTCATCAGCAACATTGTCAAAACAAATGTTACTTCTACTGCAGCAAAGCTAACAGTCCATTGTAAGTACAGTCATTCTATGTATATGATGTATTAAAAGCGATCAAGCGTTAGTGTAGTGTCCATATAGAGCGCTTGTTTTAGGTGCATAAATCCCTGCTAATTTCAAATAGCTTGCACCCTGAAGAAAACTGTGAATTCACTACGAGACCTTATGAGTAAGTTCATTTTATGACGTCTCTTCCAGATCCACCTTTTATAGCTTTATATCCACATCATACAACTACCAAGGAATCAAGCCATGTTACATTGAAGTGTCATGTGAAAGGCAATCCTACACCAACTGTGAAGTGGTTTAAAAACGGTTTTCCTGTTGGCACAAATGATTCAAGAATAACATCTGCCATTGCTGAGTCGTATGAAGGTTTAAACGTATCGCTCCTGATTGTAAATGTCAACCGGTTGGACGAGGGCGTGTACTCATGTCACGCATCTAATGGCATTGGAGAAAATGTATCGTCCACTGGAGCGAATTTGACTGTACACTGCAAGTATAGTTTATGTTTCAAATTATGTAATATTTGGCTTAATCATTTAATAGTCTAGTATTGTCTTCAGATCCTTCAAAGATATCTGCATCACCGAAGAATGTTACAAAGATTGAACATCAATCGGTGATTTTTAATTGTACGGTGCAAGGCAAGCCCATATCACAAATAACATGGTGGTACAGCAATGGAAAGATCAACACAAGTGATAGTGTCAGGTACAGTGTTAGTGGGCATTCTTCAGCAAGCAGTAGCGAGGTCTCTTTGACGATAAACAGCTTAGTGAGAAGTGACGAGGGGACTTACCGTTGTAAAGCTGAGAATAGCCTAGGAACCGAGTATTCTCAACCAGCATACTTGACTGTTTATTGTAAGTATACTTTATTGGTCTACACTAATACCCGTATTTATATTATCTCGTGATGCAAACAACTACCAATATATTGCTGCTTGCAGATCCACCAAAGATTCTCACCTCTCCATCTGGAATCACTAAAACTGAGGCAGTTAATGTTGCTTTTTTCTGCCGGTTTGAGGGCAAACCTATACCTAGGATGGTGGAATGGTTTGCAAATGGACAGAAACTTGCCATCAACTCCAACTCAAGGCTGACAGTCAGACAGTCAAGAGATTCTAGTAATGTCACTTCTTGGCTTAGCATCACCAATCTGAACAGAGCTGATAAGGGCTACTATACCTGTGTCGTCGGCAACAGCGTCAAATCAAATGTTACTTCTAGTGCAGCACAACTTACTGTCCATTGTAAGTAGCGTCATTCTATGTTTGATGAATCATATTAAATCTGTTAAGAAGGCTGCAGTGGTAATGTATCGCACACATTTTAGCTGCACAACTCATTAACAACATTTAATGCTATGCGCGCTGTACCAAAAACTAGAAGAAAAGTACGAAATTCACAATTATGAATAAGTTCTTTCTATGACATCTTTTCCAGATCCACCTTTCGTTCGAGTTTCTCCGCTCCATACAACCATAAACGAATCAAGCACTGTTACACTGAAGTGTGAAGTGGAAGGCAAGCCACAGCCAACTGTGAAATGGTCTAAAAATGGTTTTCCTGTTGACACAAATGATTCGAGAATAACGTCTCCCATTGCTGGTTCAAAAGAACGTGTAAACGCATCGCTCTTGATTCAAAACGTCAGCCGGTTTGACGAGGGCGTGTACAAATGTCACGCATATAATGGTATTGGAGAAAATGTGTTTTCCACTGGGGCCAATCTAACTGTACATTGTACGTATATAATTTTTACGTTTCAATTTTGGAATATTTAGCTTAATCATCTAAAATTGCTACTTCGATATTCAGATCCTCCAAAAATATCTGCATCACCACAGAATGTTACGGAGATTGAACATCAATCTGTAACTTTTTACTGCACTGTCCAAGGGAAGCCCATACAGATAACATGGTGGTACAGCGGTGTAAAGATCAACGCCAGTAATGGTTTCAAGTACAGGGCTAGTTGGCCTTCTTCCGAAAGCAGTAGCGAGGTCTCTTTGACAATAAAAAGCTTGGTGAGAGGTGACGAGGGGACTTACCGTTGTAAAGCTGAGAATAACCTAGGCACCGAGTATTCACAACCAGCATACTTGACTGTATTTTGTAANATGGGATTCTGATATGCCCTCGCAACGCTGATAGGCCTTCAGAGTGTACATACAGTTTCTTCATGTATACTAAACCCTAGGCAATAATCGTTCATATCATGACTTCATCAGACAATGTTTGTTCATGTCATACTCTCCCTCAGCTAACATTTGCTCATATCATACTCATCAGTTAATGATGTTAATTATAATAAACCATTSAATTATTGACTTTGTTTTTCCTATTCTCAYTTTACATTTTACTTTCAGTTGCWCCAAAAATCCTAGTTTATCCAYTGAATGACACTAGAAGTGAAAAACAGAGTGCAAAGCTAAGTTGTGACTTCCATGGATATCCATTGCCATCGGTAACCTGGAAGAGAGATGGAAAAGATCTGCCTACTCGTGATAGAATAAGTATTTCAAACAAAAGGCTAAAGCTTTCAGTAAGACAAGTTTCCTCTGTCTTGACTATCACCAACCTTGTYAGGAGTGACCARGGGTTATATACTTGCATTGTAAACAATAAAATCGGAACAGTGGTTTCTCCTTCTCAGACTGGCTACTTRACTGTTAAMTGTAAGTTGAATCTATKTAGCYCTCAAGACTTGAGTTCTTTTTAYTCTAGCTATAATACAGGCGTTACGTAAGCCGCGGAAACGACGTCCTGGATAGAACATTGCTTGATGAAAAGTGGCACTTTACAGGATGACATGTCGCGTTCCTTCAACCCCTGACTTCTATCTTGATATAAATTGATATGTATCCTTGAACAATTAGTTATTAATGAATATTTATCGAACTAAGCTGAGAGATATTATATCACATTCACCAATCATGAACATAAGCAACTAGTCAAATCAAATGTCGCATCTCATCAAGTACAACCGAATCTCGATCGTGTGCAAAATCCACGCCCCTTTTTGTCTCTTGAATTTTCAAATTCATCTATGTACGCCCCGTCCAACTTGCCTTGAAGCATCCCAGCCCCACTTAAAATAACGTACCCCTCTTTCTTATATAAGCATGACTTCTCTTCCAGATCCACCTTCAATACAAGTTTCGCCACGCCACATAACCACAAACGAATCAAATACTGTTACATTTACGTGTGATGTGGAAGGGAAGCCACAACCAACTGTACAATGGTTTAAAAATGGCTTCACTGTTGACAAAAATGATTCAAGAATAACGTCTACCATTGTTGGATCGCATGAACGTTTAAACGCATCACTTATGATTCGAAATGTCAGCCAGTTTGACGAAGGCGAGTACGCTTGTCACGCATCTAATGGTATTGGAAAAAATGTATYGTCCAATGGAGCGAATTTGACTGTGCACTGTAAGTATAGTTTACGTTACAAATTGTGGAATATTAGGCTTAATCATCTAATAGCGTTAGTTTTGTCTTCAGATCCTCCAAAGATATCTGCATCGCCTCAGAATGTTACAGAGATTGAACATCGATCTGTGGCTTTTAATTGTACTGTGCAAGGCAATCCCATATCACAGATAACATGGTGGAAGAATGATGTAAAGATCGAGACAAGTGATAGTGTCAGGTACAGTGTCGGTGGGCCTTCTTCTGGAAGCAGTAGCGTCTCGTCTTTGATGATAAAGAGCTTGGTGAGAGGTGACGAGGGGACTTACCGTTGTAAAGCTGAGAATAGCCTAGGCACGGAGTATTCTCAACCAGCATACTTGACTGTTCATTGTAAGTATACTTTATTCGTCTATACTAAGACACATATTT